TACGGGGTTCACGGAGCCTCTCATTTTGACGAAAGTTTTGTGGTGGCAACCAAAAACAAAAAAATGGTTCGGTATACCATACGTTTAAATAAAAACTGTATTGCAATGGGATTGGTCAAATTTGGAAGTTTCCGATTACGGAAGATTGCGTGATTACTTTTTAGCATCAGTGCTAAAAACTATGAACTTCCAATTTGTAACACAAAACAAAATCGAAATGAATTTTCTAATTCTAAATAATTTTTTTCGACTTACTCTAATTTGATTCTTCAATAACTTCTATTTTAATTTCTGATTTTTGTTTTTTAATCCTTAATCAAAGCCTAAATAATTCTTTTTCAGATAGAAATTATGTAAAAACGGTAAATATGGCAAACAAAAAAAATTGCAAATGGTCCGTCTACTTCCGGTACTCAAGTTTTTCTTAGAATTTCCGCTTTTATTTGAGCATGAAACATTTTTAAATGAATACCGTGAAAATTTGAAGTTGCTCGAACAACCTTTGGACTTGATTACTTTAATTGATGCAAAAGTGGTAGATCTCTTAACTGAAGAAGGCCCAATAAGGAGACCTATCCTTGAAGCACTTCAAAATAGAGTAAAGACGATTAATTCAATCTCCTTAATTCCATCATTTTGTAGGCGAACTTCATGAATTCGACAGATTGTTATTTATTGATGGCAAACTCGTTATTTCCTTTACACTCATAAATGCCGTATTGAAGATCTTATCTGTATGAAGCCCACCCTGGCAGTTTCTGTGCGAAACATTTTGCACAACGCATCGAAAAATTTTTTTCGATGGGATAAACTGTTGAGAGTTCAATAAAATGGGAAAAAATTAGAATCAGAGTTTCACAAAATAGCAAAATGTCTGAGCCAAACAAATAACTTTGGACCTTGCCATTCCTCTGGATTCTAAGACGGGAACAAAAATTACATCTTATGTATCTTTATAATTTCAATGTTTTCCCATTCCTAAATCTACCTCAACAAACACAGTCATAGACTTTCTCCAAGACTACATTTTTATTTCGCATGGCATTCTAACTTCTATTTGCGTAGATCAGGCCTGTTTTTTGTTTTACTAGTGATTTTTTGAAAATTTCTTAAGACTCTGATGCTCCTAAAATAATAATCGGTACAGTAGTTGATCCCCATTCCAACGGATTAGTCAAAAAACTTGTTCTTATTGAAATATTTAAATAATTGGCAATGGCTCAAGAACTTCAAAATATACGTTAGAAGACGTTATCTCAAAATTATACGAAAACTTCGATTTTCATTTCAATCAAAAACTTAATGTTCGGAAAATGAAATTCACGTCAATAGAAAACCCGATACCATTTGGAGACAACCTGCGTCTTTTAAATTGTGCGATAGAATTTCAGACAAAGGGAAGTCATTTCTAAGCAAGGAACGCACTCTAGACTGCAATTCAGATGAGAGAGTTGAGGTTGACTAGAAGTACACTGTGATGCCTGAGAACCAAAAAATTTCTCTGTGTAAATGGATATGAATCCAACTACCCTTCTCCCTCAAAACCCTCCTCGTCAAGGATACCACTTCAGAGTCCATTAAAGGTAACATCCTTCGGAAAACCAAAAAGAACATCAATGGAAAACTCCTTTAACAGGAAATTGAACCAGGCAGATAGTAGTTAATGCTTTTAAATCTACAATGCTTCTAAATCATCTGACGTAAAAGTCATCAGAAAGTCGGATATCGCTTTCACAAAATCCAACTCAACTCATTTTTGATCTTTCAGAGGAAACGCTTCTATATTCCTTCATCACATTTGAAGCCCATCACTTACTTTTGTTTCCGTTTATCCTAACTGTTCATAATTTTTAAGGCCAATGCCCATTTTTCCGGATACATATTTTAACTTAACGTAGCTTGACGTAACCTCAAACTTAATACTTCATCAGAAAAGAGCTCATCTACTGAAACTAGAGATAAGACTAATTTGGTCTTTTTCTTAACAACGGTTTATTTGTGACAGTTTTTGATATACAATTCATGAAAAATAAAAAAAGACAATAAAATGAAATTTGAACGTAAACCATTTAGTACTATATGCCAAGTTTTAATTTTAGACTCAGAATTTTTGTTTTCACAGTAGTTCAAAGTAAAAGTTATATATCAAGAAAAAAAACCAAAAGTTAATAGACAAAAATTAAAGTTTGCGTCGAATGAATGTTTTTCGAGACAAACGGAAGTATTCGTAGAACCAGTTTTAATCAACGTCTTTCATTTTTGTAAGTGTTTGTGTTGTATCGCGTGTGATGCGAAGTTCCGCTACGTCTCTGTATAGAAAGCTTCTTATCCATACTCCGCCGGAGACGTAACGGAACTTCGCATCACATGGAATACATCAAAAAAATTAAAAGAAAATTAAGACTTTGAAAAAACTGGGTCTACGAATACTTTCGGTTGTCTCGAAAAAATTCATTTGAGGAAAACATACCGCAAAACATTTGCATAGTAAATTAGCAACGGAACAATAGTTAACAAAGATGACAATCTTTGAGCAGGCACCGATTGAGCGGACAAAAAAGTTTTTGAATAACATTATTTTTATAAATTAAAAAATATATATTTCTTGCAAATGTAGTGAAAATAGCTCGCAGCACAGAAAAGATCCGTGATTTGGCAACTAAGACAACAAAAATTGAGCATACAAAAGAAAAGCAGAATATTCAAAGTTACCGGAAAAATTTTCCAAAGTCATACATACTGAAAAAAGGTTCGACCGGGGCTCGAAACCAAAAACGTAGGATGCAAAGGCGACCACAATACCTCTATGCCAAGTGGGAAAGAGTCTGGAAAATTTTAAAATTCAAAATTGAAGCAAGTAAGAAACACAATTAAGTTTTGTAAGAAAAGTTGTCTACGGGACAAAAAAGAACTAGTTCCCGATTGCAAGACACTTGCTATAGCAAGTGTACAAAGAGGGGGAAAGTGATACCGAGACAATGGGCATTAAGTGGAAACTAAATGAAAGGAGCCACCCGGGTTGACGTTCATAGAAGGAAAATGCTAATCATAGAGTTTCATATATGAAGTCTATGGAAAAAATGCTTATCATAGAAAATTCATACAAAATTTAAAAAGCGTTTTAAAAGTTTTTAATGAACATTTTTGGTCTAATTGCCTCTTTTGAAGCTTTCTGGTCATCCAAAAAATAATTTGAAATTTTTAATAAAAAATGCTTGTCATACAATTTTCATGTACGAAAATTATAAAATATTCATTTTGTCATAGAATTTTTTTTTCTTCAAAAATCACCAAAAACCGTGTCTGGGTAACTTTAAATAGATTTAAATAAGTGTATCTATGATAGAGGGCATATTGACAATCAGAAACATAATTTTAATTTCGGTCAGAAAAATGCTTGTCAAAAACTTTTCATATATGAAAAATGTATGATATGCATTTTTTCATAAACAAAAATAAAAACTTGAGGTAAAAATTTTTTTAGTCCTTTTTTTGGCTGCAAATTTGCTTTTGTGCTAAAATATAACTTTCACGAAAAAAAAATTGCAGGCAAAATTTGACATTTTTGAGTTTATAACGCAGTCCAGGATGAGTTTCTCACCCAAAAAACCCAAAAATTACATGAAAATGTTTTTTAAACACGATTATTATCTTTTGTTTCATTTGCTAAAATAAAAATAAGTTTGTAAAAAAACAGGCCTTTTTTTCTCAACCATCATAATTTTCAAGCTAACAATTATCAAGCCTTATTCAAAAAGTTACTTTTTTGGTATTTATTTCCATGTGAAAATATTAAAATTAACCTTTATGGCTGAAACCACCAAATGCAGTTCATCTGCGTGGTAACTGCCACTTACACTCTGGCTTTTCTCATGACAAAAACTCCTTGGTTAATGTTTTGGTGGAAACACGAAATTTCGAAACAAAATTTTTTAAAATTTTTATTTATGGAAAAAATCCTTATCATACAATTTCATAGTATGGAAAAAATGCTTATCATATATTTTCATTTATGGAAAAAATGCTTATTTTGCTATTTTCATACACATACTTTCGCTCTATGAAACTGTATGAAAGAGTAAGCATTTTTTTCATATATGAAAAATGTATGATAACCATTTTTTGTCAACCCGGGCAGCCAACGGAAAGGGCAGACGTTTAATCCCAAAAATCAAAACAAATTGTTCGTATCTAAAATTTCAAGTTGATTTCAATACTTGAATAGGAATATGTACAAGCCTGGATAAAATTAAGTACACGCGCTTAGATATTGTATCTTTTTGGGTTTGTATTCATATATTTCAACTTCAGGTAAAAAATTGTCATCGTCCCAATGACATTGGTGATGTTAACCAATTTACACAATTTGATTAACATTTCCTGTATTAAAAGTTCTACCACAATAAATTTCAAGCTGAGGCAGAAAATTAAAAAACTCAAAAAATAAATATGTCAGCCCGTGTATTTAATTATATCAAGGCTTGTACATACTATTAATAAAGTCCTTGAGTTTGTCTGACGACCTGCTCCTCAATCAATTGTTGGCCTCCAAACTGTTTGGAGATACGTGTAAAAAAAGTGCAGATTATTTGAGCTTTTCAATGCTACAATCGTATTTAATTTGACATTTGGATACGTTACGGTTCTTACATCTTTATAAAATGTCATTTGTTTCTAATTTTTTCCCTGACATGATTTTCTAATATGCAGTTTTTTAGGCAATTCGTTTCTCTCCATGATAAAACATTTGTCACAGGGATAATTTTTTTTACAAGGATCGTTTTCACGATATGTGTGTTTCGCTCTGATGTTTGTTTTACTTGTTTTTTTTCCTCAGTGAAGACCAAGAAGTCATATGATAGTTCAACAATATCACCAAAGCGTTTTACTTAACTTTTATATTACCAATGGTATCAAGAAAAGAGAAAACGTTTTAACTTGAAACAAAATACACGTTAAGTTTTTGAGCTGCTATGAGCTAGATCACTTGATTACCCACTTATCAGCACTGTACAAAGACTTGGCAAAACAAATGCTTGCAAAAATATATGCTAGACTTTCTGTAGCAAGTGCTGGTCCGAATATTTAAGAGTAGCTCGACCTTTAAAAGCTGTGATTTGTCAAAAAAAATCAACTACATTTACTTTTATTAGAGAATTCTAAACTTATATGAACTTAACGACTTTTGCTCGAAAAAAAAAAACAAAACAAAATAGAAGTTTCACATAACTTACCAAAATTGGATAAACACTCGTAAACGAAGATAGTTGAAGCAAAAAAAAACTTTTTACAAGCAACTTGCTCCATTAAAATGGCTGCTATTATCCGTGGCACAGGTAAACATCATTTTATTTTCATTTGATCAAAATTGATCAGCAGTATGTTGTTTTTTATACGACTGATTAAGATCCTAGTAGGATTTTTCTACAAGAAATTATAGGTACTATAAAAGATAATTTCTGACGACGTTAACTTAATGACAAAAAAGTTTTCATCAGCGATCAGGGGCGGATCTAGGATTTTCTCGAGGGGGGGGGGGGTAGCGGATTTTCAAAAAAAAATTCAAAAATTTTGTCGAAATTTTTTTAGTTCGACCAAATTGATTTTCTGAGCTCTCCCAAAGCACTAAAAGACCCTGTTGTGGCCGAAACTTCTGCGCCGCAGGCAAAATTTTGAAGAAACAGGCCAAAAGAGGCATTTTTAGGCACTTTTGGTAAATTTTTACCAAAAAATTGCCATTTTGCGGCGCGCGCTCCCCCCTGAAAATTAGTATTCCAACGCCAAATTAGTGTTCCAGAAGTCAAAGTACTTCTGGCCATTCCGTTTTGCAACTTGTCGAGTTTGAACGGAATTTTTTACTGCCGACTTTTATCCGATTTTAGTGATTCCCTTTGTGTTGTATTGCAAGCGGTGTGGAGCTCCCCTTCGCCTCTGTAAAGAAATTTGCTACTTGCATTAGATTTTTGTGTATTACTTCAATTTCCAGGTCGTTTCCATTGCATTGTACATGCAAGAACGTTAAATCTTTAGTGACTCTTTTTTTTCATTAATCAGGGTCTTTCTCACTTGTGTTCGGTTACGAATATAACCCAAAAACTTCGAGAATGACTAAAAAAAATTTAAAAACGATTTTTTTTGGTTTAAGGAATAATACAATTTTAAAATACAAAAAAATACTAGACGTTGACTTTTCATGCAACTTTCTGTTCTTATGGATATGCATGAAAAGTGAAGGACTAGCATTTTTCCAAATATGAAAAGTGTTTAATTATTGGTCAACCCGGGATGCTTCGGTCGCGGTTAACTTTCCGTTGGCTGCGCCGGTCTCGGATGGGCTAAATGATTTTGTGATCTAAATTAGCTTTTCCTACAGCTGAATTTTGCATTTGCGCAATCACTGCACGCACTCAAGGCAAAAAAATCTATACGACAGAAGCTATTAAAAGTGTATTTCTTCAATAATAGAAGAAAATCGCACGATCAATTGAACATAACATAAGAGTTATGTTCAATTGATCGTGCGATTTTATTCTATTATTGAAGAAATACACTTTTAACAGCTTCTGTCGTATAGATTTTTTTGCCTTGAGTGCGTGCAGTGATTGCGCAAATGCAAAACTCAGCTGTAGGAAAAGCTAATTTAGATCACAAAATCATTTAGCCCATCCGAGACCGGCGCAGCCAACGGAAAGTTAACCGCGACCGAAGCATCTCGGGTTGACCAATAATTAAACACTTTTCATATTTGGAAAAATGCTAGTCCTTCACTTTTCATGCATATCCATAAGAACAGAAAGTTGCATGAAAAGTCAACGATTAGTAATTTTTTGTAATTTAAAATTGTATTATTCCACAAACCAAAAAAAAAAAACGTTTTTAAAATTTTTAAAGTCACTTTCGAAGTTTTTGGGTTATATTCGTAACCGAACACAAGTGAGAAAGACCCTGATTAATGAAAAAGAGAGTCACTAAAGATTTAACATTCTTGCATGTACAATGCAATGGAAACGACCTGAAAATCGAAGTAATACACAAAAATCTAATGCAAGTAGCAAACTTCTTTACAGAGGCGAAGGGGAGCTCCACACCGCTTGCAATACAACACAAACTTAAAAAACTAAGTGGACCCAAGTTTTGTAGGTTTCGATAAAAAAATAATGAGAGCCATCTAAAACTTTCGTATGTCTCGATAAAAGATAACAAGGGCATAGCTAAAATTGGAGGTTGGTGTTTGATTACTTTGTTTTACTGATGTGTGATGAAATGTGCAATTTCAAAAATTGGCTGCCCAAAATCATACCTGTTTCTCTACTAAAAGGAAAGTGGAGGTCAAAAGCTAATGACAAATTGCACTTGAAATCTTCCTAACGACATAACCTTTTTTCTTACAAAAAACTAAGGAGACGCGTCTTCTACATGAAAATTTTTCACAAATGCTTCAATCAATTGAACCCTAGAGTAGTTTGTAAGAAAAGTCATTAAGTTTCTAAATATCTATTTTCTGCAACAAGAATGTCGTAGCAGCTAGAAGGTTTCCAAAACCGGGTTTCTCGATTGACTTAAGAATTGGCGGGGTAGTTTTCCAAAAAAAAAGAAAACGTTTCCAACAAACAGTCAAAAAATCTAAAATTTCACTTGTCCGAGAATCATAGCTTTAATCGTGAAAAGGTTTTGGGCGTAGCCACTCATACAAAAAAGATTCACACAAAAAAGGCATTTCGATTGAACCGAAAACTCAGATTACAGAGGGTATTTCAGATTCGAAAAGAAGTCAATTATCTTCAAAAAACGGTAAAAAAAAACAATTGTCTTTCCGAGTGCCGAAAATACTGTGTTAGAACTAGAGTTTCATGTAACCTCGTATATCCCATCCTAATTCCCCAGAGTACTTCGCTACGAAGGTGTTGTTTATGCAAATGATGCAGCGTGGAAAGCTTCTCATTTTTCACCTGGTTGTTGCCTCCAATCAAATGGCTTTTACGTATGGTATGTCACGCTTTTCACATTTTAAAACGCGTCTTTTTCCATTTCGACAATGTGCTTGGTTTCCATTTTTTGGATTTCAACATGTAAGTTTTTATGCATTTACTTCTTCTTGACTTTAGTCTCTAAGGCTAAAAAACAATCTTGAGACAAGTCGTTTCTGATCTGTCGTTTCGGAACTGTCGTTTCTGAACTGTAACTACATGGAAGTTGCAACTTTTTGAATTCAAAAGGCAAATGAACGACATTTTGAGAATTATAAGTTTCAAGGCGTAATCTAATGAACGACATTTTGAGAAGTATAAGTTTCAAGGCGTAATCTAACCGGCATAAAAGTACTAACTTTAGAGGTGACTCAGTTGTGGAAGCATCCTTGCAAAAAACAAAAGAAACTTCGAATTTATGAGCTAAATATAGTTTTTTGGGAAGCTAATGAACTTAACTTACATTTCTTTCAGCCAAAAAAGACAGATAACGAATTTCAAAGAAATACTTGGTGCGGCGTCAAAAAACGATCATAACTGTTTTGACGGCATTAAGGGCAAAACTTGCGGAAGCTTAAACTAGAAAGTTAAACAAAATTTTCATGCAACATGACTGTCAATAAGAATTCTGTGCATAGATTGGCACAATAGTTTTCCATGAAAAATTGCCGGAATAGTTCTTTTGTTGCCTCATCCGTGCAAAATTATTCATGAGCTGTTTTCTTTCGCCGGACCAGATAGCTTTTTCACTTTTCTTATCTGTCAATGTTTGGTGCTAAAAACGTAAGTCTAGTTCATTAGTTTCCTTAGTTTCCCAAAGATCTAATTTTAGTTCCTAAACTCAAATTCCTTATGTTGTTTGCGAGGGTGTTTCCACAGCTAGAACACCTGTAAAAACAGTTTTCTCAATTTTTTTCTTGAGAAAAACTAGAACACCTGTAAAAAACTAGAACACTTGTAAATAACTTTTTCTCAAATAAAATATCTTAAATTGCAAAAACTTTTTTCCTGCATATGTCACAATTTCAATCTTAAACGGCAAAAAACGTGAAAACAATTTTCGTTCATTTGTTTTTTTTTGAATCCGTAAAGTTGCTTCAATGTAGAGAAGGTGCATTAAAAGTAGAGAAGGTTACTTGGACTGCTGCTTTTTTTGTTCCGGCCATTGAAAAGGTGGAGGAACTTTGTATTCGGACGTGTTTTAGTTATTTTTTCTTTTTTTTTGTTTTCCTCGCAAAATCAGGTACCACAAACAATCATCGGAATGGGTCGAGTGATATATAATAATAAAAGCTTTTCCAGTTGTGATTCGAACGATACTAAAAAATTTGAAAATTACTCCCCATATCGAGAAAAACCGATTTGAAATTTTTGAGTTTTTGTCTCATTTTCTCAGCGAGTGAAGCGAGCGAGCACTCTTATTTTAAATGCTTAAAAGCTTACAATAGGTTAAGTGAAACCGTAAAAGTTTAGTTTACTTTGAGTATTTTAGCCCTTTTTGGAGTCAAAGTTATCAAAAACTCAAAAAACTGCAAAACTTGAGAAAAAAAAATTTCTCGTTTTCGAGTAACGTTTCTAAAGAAATTATTTTTCACTTTGCTTATTTTATTATGAGCGTCGAATGAACCTAATATCCAGTTTTTGCTCAGCTCCTTTTATTACACCACGCCGAAAAAAAAACGACAATAATTTTAAAAAAGTTAAGACTATGGTTTTTTTTTTTTTTTTTTTAAGACTATGGTCGGTCGGAACATTCTGTGCCACTTGCACAGTAACCGACTATCCTTGTTCTTTTTTGTTTTTGTTGTCTGCTGCTCAGATTTCCAGAATGGTTTTTCTTTGTCCGTAGTTGTGTCAAAGTTTTTGGCAATTGGCAATGAGGAGTTATTGTAATTGTCGCTTGTTTTTTTTCCTTGAATTTCGAGGCAGCGTTGATTCCTATCCTAACATCGAGTTATTTGGCTGTATAACTTTTGCCATTTTCCGTAGTTTTTGAAAACTAACTGGGAAAAAACCAAATTATTTTTAAAACGGATTAATACGCCAAATCTAACAATTAATACTTCCTACTTTTTCTTGCTCAATAGCTATTTTCAATTTTATTCAAAAAGTTTTTTTCTACTTAAGTCAACCATAGAAAAACTTAAGACTATGGTTGTTTTTTTAAGACTATGGTCGGTCGGAACATTCTGTGCCACTTGCACAGTAACCGACTACCCTTGTTCTTTTTTATTTTTGTTGTCTGCTGCTCAGATTTCCAGAAGGGTTTTTCTTTGTCCGTAGTTGTGTCAAAGTTTTTGGCAATTGGAAATGAGGAGTTACTGTAATTGTCGCTTGTTTTCTTTCCTTGAGTTGCGAGGCAGCATTGATTCCTCTCCTATCGTCGAGTTATTTGGTTGTATGTTTTTTGCCATTTTCCGTAGTTTTTGAAAACTAGCTTGGAAAAAACCAAATTATTTTTAAAACGAGATAATCCGCCAAATCTAACAATTAATACTTCTCACTTTTTCTGGTTCACGAGCTATTTTAAATTTTATTCAAAAAGTTTTTTTTTACTTATCATGTACAGTTGTTTAGTTCAAACCAAATCCAGTTGTCTTCTTTAGCTTGGGAACTGAGTCCACTCAACTGATGTCAAACATTTCTTCGATTCTTAGTTGTTATAGACTTTGATGCTGTTTTGCAATTCTTAAACGGAGTTTGCAAGCTTAAGAGATCACAAACAACTATAAGTTTGCTGGCGTGACAAAAGTACTCATCATTGCAACATAACATTGCAACTTACCATTGCGACGTAGCATTGCAACAAAGTTTATTAAAGTCTTTATTTGAGAATAATTAGTAACTTCTAGATAAATGTTTTTGAAAAAGTAATGTTTTTTTTCAGGAATTCTGCAGCTTTTGATCATTGCGCTGGCCTCGAGTCTCAGCCTAGTTGCGGCTTATGTTGACGGCTGCGAGGATGACTGGGATTGCCAATATTGGTATGACGATGACGAGTATCAGTGCTGCATCAATGCAGATTGTCATAAATACTGCCTTTTGTTAGTAATTTATTCTTTTACTCTGGGATTTTTTCGGCGTTTTTTAGTGAATCAAATTATACTCCAAACCCATATGTACATTTACAGACAAAATTACATCAATGCAAGCTTCTTCCATAGCACAACAAACTTTGAGAGGGGTATAACTTTTTCAGCTTTGTATAAAGATATTTGTTTTCGTTTTATAGCCACAAAAGTGATTTCGTGAACTGCCTCATGCTCTAATCATTCTGTTTTGAATACAGTTTTTTTGACTGAATTGACATCGAGGGCTCTTGCTTGATTGTGAAAGAATTTCCACTTTCGTTTCCGCTTCCAAATGGGTTCTGCTTTCGTAATACATTCGCTGTAGCGTATCCCTTTTCTGGCAGTAATCTTGATTTCAATGTGTCACCCGCCGTGACACCTGGTCTGATACAATATTCTCACTGGATATCGCTTAATTTCATATTGGCAGGGAAAATATCACGTATGAGCTCTTTTTTGATGTCCTGCATCCAGACATAATTTCGCTGCCTGACCCCATAAACTAGGATAAAGATTAGATTGCTTAGGTCAGACGTTTACCTTCAAAACGGATACTACGCGTTTGTCATTTCCCACTTTCTAAAATTTTTTAAGTCCCATGTTTAAAACAACTAACAAAATAACAGCACGTTTTAGATCAAGTTTTGAGTTTTTAGTCTTAGTTCATTTTTATGTATTTGTTTTGGTTTCAGTATAGCCTGTTAATTAGTCTTGTTTATTTTTTGGTGATCATGTCGGGCAGGATGACACCCGGGTCGAGATCCCGCTCAAAAACCGCTCAAGATTTGAGCGGTTTGAGCGGTTTTCCAGCAAGATTTGAGCGGTTGGAGCGGTTTGGGCGGTGTGGGCGGTTTTTTGGAAAAACCGCTCAAACCGCTCAAATCTTGCTTAAAAAACCGCTCAAAAACCGCTCATTTCTTGCGGTGATTTTTGAACGGTTTTTCAAGCAAGATTTGAGCGGTTTTTGAGCGGTCTTCCCGGGTCGAGGTCCCAGACTCAACATTTCTCTTCTCTGCAAAACTCGAACGAACACGTTCATCCAGGGGCGACCAATATGTAGTAATTTTCCAAAAAGTGCCCAAAAACAGCAATAAAAATCCTGACAGCATATTTGTTGTGCATGTCTAAAACATTGAACATACTCAGTAGAACAAACACAGCGAATATTTAGCTTCCAGCAAGTCCGCATAGACTAACGGATAAGGCGTCTGACTTCGAATCAGAAGATTGCAGGTTCGAATCCCTCTGTGGTCGACTTTTTATTAGATAAACCGCTCAAAACCGTTCAAATCTTGCGCGGTTTTTGAGCGGTTTTTGAGCTGTTTTTTTAGACAAACCGTTCAAAAACCGCTCAAACCGCTCATTTTGAAGCAAGATTTTGAGCGTAATTGTCTAAAAAAACCGCTTAAACCGCTCAAATCTTGCTTCAAATTAGGTGAAAAATCTCGACTCGGGCAGTGTACCCGGGAATACTGGGATAAATTTGGATTTGGATGGTGACTTAAGCTCTCCTAGTGAAACTGGTACTGGTTCAAGTTCTACTGAGCTAATTCTGTGATAAAGCGGGCTTCCGAAAAATCTCGTTTGTTGTTTGCTTTTTTATTTGAAGTCCTCGTAGTGTGCCTTACCTCCAACCCGTAATTTCGCCTCATCTGTGATGTAAGCAACTTTAACTCTTTTCCCCTTGAATATATTTTAAAAAGGCAGTCCTAACTTACGATGCAAAACATTCTGGAGTACTCTAACCTTTTTCGGACAGTTTAATAGCTCGAATTCCAAATTAGGTTCTTTGGACGATTTGGAACCTGATCTAGACTACATTTTATGATTGGATAATTTAGATATTTTACCAATGTAAAGTATTTAATATTAACCAATCATGATCCATCTAACTAACAACCCACTTATTTGTAAGTGCTGAAGTTACTTGTAATTTCAGCACCAGAGAGATTTGAATTTAACTTAGAAATTAGTTGGACTCTCCCGAGCACTTCAGCAACCGCAATAAACCAGTATACCCTAGATCTATTGAGCCTAGCAGAGACTAGTTAAACAATCTGAGACTAGATAGTATAAGAGTAAGATTAGGATCGGTATTAGACTAAGAAGTTGCACGAATCTATCCGGCCGAAAATAAGATAGCGTGACGAGCAGACGGTGTACCCTATCCGAAATTACTCTATGAGTTAACCAACTCGGTCATAACTCATCTGGTGCGACCATAAGTCTCGAACAAGACCTTAATAGCTTAGAATTAACCAAAATAGATTAGAAATTAGACAAAAACATTTACAAAATGTTATACGACAATAATTTAATCGAAATGTCTCTACGACTCAATAGATCAGAGCCAATATTCCGAACCATAACAGAACTACCCGGAATTGGAAGAAGACCTCGAACCAGAGACGACATACGACAAAGTAGAAACTTGCCATATAGCTATATGATAGTTAGGCAAAAACCAGAACAAACTTTTATATTTAGAATACTACTAGCAATGAATTTAGATTTTCATTTGCAAACATAAAACCTTGAAGTTAATCTTCAAAATCATTTCAGGCGCTAAACCAAATTATTAATATACAATAACGATTGATAAAAAGATCTAAGATCGTTTTCCTAAAACTCTGCAGTAATATACAAAACATGTTTGAAAAATATTTATTGAAAAATAAAAAATAAAAATTAGTAGCATGACAATAAATGGTTAGTAATCATAAATCATCCTGTTGTTCCAGCTCCATCACCTAAAACATAACAGCAATCATAAACCCACTAATATCATCAAAACACTAAATCTTTCCTTTACACACATTTAAAATTTTATTAAAACTTAAATTCACTTAATTTTAAAACCAGATCATCAAGGCTTATCCTTGGATCTTAAATCATTTTCTACTTAATTAAATTTCAAATTTGATCATCAAGGCTTATCCTTGGACCCAACAGAACAACTTTGTTCTCCCCCACCCACTTAATTAGTGTCTAACGACCTCAAACGTCGATTCACTACCCAACCCTTTCTAAAGACCTAAGACTAATAGAAATTTTTAAACAAAACTAATCATTCAAATTAGGATAAACAGTGAAGAACTTCGGTTATTCATCCTTCACTTGACCCCCCCTCTTACCAGACCCAGGATAAATCTTAGACTTAGTAAGTTTAAAATAGTATCTAACGAACTACTCGCGTTCTAATTATACCTGAACCTTGTGGATCGATTTACTATTCTCCAACCCTTGAACACAATCACTACCCCTAAGTAAGATTAAGTAAGTTAACACCTTAACTTATACTAGCCACGAGAAAGTAAAAAATCATTCTTCGGAATCGATATACTTTTCTCTCCAACCCTGAACAAATAGACCCAGGTTAAGCTAACCAAAAAATCGTAAGAACTAACAGTTTAGGAAAATAGAAATCATTTAACAACCTTTTGCATCCGTCATCCTAAACCTTATGTCATTTAAAAACCTAGGAAATAAACAAACAATCGTTTTACACAATTGTGAAATAGATAACAAAAAATACGACCTTGTAATCACACCTCATACACAAACAGTTGGATACATTCGAACAAAACGACAAACACTAAAAAGAAAAATAATAACGAAACAAAGACAAATAACACGAAAAAGATTTTCAAAAAATCGAAACGCATTTTCAGAATCAGAAACCAACAGTTTAGACGAACTTTACAAACTAAAAGAATCAATAGATAAAAATTGCCCACTTCACGATCAATTATATTTTTCTGACTCAGAAACAACTTCAAATTCATCAAAAAGAGGAAAAAGAAGAATAAAAAAGCAGTATAAACACAAACCAGTACATTTATACAATTGGAATCAACCAATTCGACACATTAATAATTACATATTAACAGTCATCGAACGAAAAAATGAGCTCAACGCACACCCCAGGTGAAGAAAGTCCAGATGATGATGAAATCTTTCCTTTTATAGTAGATGCAACCACTGATAGAGGACAGCATATATTTTGCAAAAATTTACTATTAAATTTATTTGAACCCGGAATCAGTCCATGTAAAACAGAGTTCCCAGATGTAAAAATCAAAAGACAAATCATAGACCACTACTTAAAAGATATATGCAACATAACACAACAGTATGGAATCTACTCCATAGAATTCACCTCACCAAACCATAATAATAGAAAATATACAATTCAAACAGACGATCTTGATTTAGAATTTTCAAAAGTTTTTTCAGAATATATAAAAAGCATCCAATATCATAACTCACAAAGAGCAAACTCCATATTCACCAATGAAGTTTTCGCAATAATATATAGTTATATTTCGATATTAGAAAACGAAATCCCAATAACAAATGTCTCACCGACAGAAACATCTAAACATTTAAGAGTACGGCATGAAATCACACTACTCTCTAGTTATTTAAACATCATTAAAGAAAATTTCACGAAAGACGACGTTTCACAACATACAAAACACGATCTACAAAAAATTTTGGCATGGTTCATAATAGATTATTTCACACACAATATTGATTTAATTGCACAAGCAAGAAAAAATTTTAGACCCCAAAACTCGAACGATGATACCGCTATCACAGAACAATCAGATTATGTTTGGGACCCCGAATGGTCTCATCCCGCATTTATAAGCTTCCCACAATCAATCTCAAGTCAAGCAATAAGTACGATATCTTACATAAGAGATTATGTAAAAGTAATACCATTAACCATTGATGCAACACCATTAAACTATAATACATTTTTGCCCGATACAAAAAATAATAGTTTAAACTCTACAGTCATACACAATGAAAACCTCAATGGAACTAGGAATCTTACTCAACAAGATATCCAGACACCATCACACTTCATAAATGAAGAAATTGTACACACAACAACTACACAACAAAGTATTTCACCAATACGCCCAAATTTAACAACACCAAGAAATACAAATCCTTCACAAACA